CAGTTTTGGAAATAGGTTGAGTCCTTGAATCCCATTTATTTCCAAAAGCTTCAAAATATGAAACATTTTGTCAGAGCGCTACAATCAAAGAACTTGTATTTGCACATGTTCACATTTGTTCCTCCCCCATAAGCTCCTAGGAGAAAATCATTAAACTTTCTCATTAATTTTATTGCGGTTCCCTGAATGCTTACTGCTAAATTATGTATATTTTTAACAGTAACAAAATATGGGCAGTTGGTTCACAGCAAAACAAAAAAAAAAATGAGTTACTAGATTAGCAATTAAAGCAGCTCTCCCACCACAAAGCTGAAGAGAGAGCTTTAAACACATATATGTGAACTGTCTAGCCTGACGTCATATTTATAGTTCTGTCCATTCACAATTATGAATCACACATTCTTGCCTCATTTTATAGCCAGAGCATTCAAACTACATTTAACAACTTTATTAGAAGTAACTGTGAGCACTTGAACATATCACTTTTCCACATAATCCCCATGCAAGATAATGCGCTTGTCATATCGTTCAACTAGCTTCTGTATTCCTGCAGAGAAGCTTCTCTCCTGTTGCTGAAGCCAGAAGTGCACCAATTCCTTTAGATCATTATCTGAGGTGAACCTGCAACCACGGAGCACCTCCTTCCTTTTGCTCTCCAGGTTGTAGTGGTGCACCCATTTCTCATCGCTGGTGACAATTACTCCAATTATCTTCATACCGTCTCAAAAACTATCTCTGCCTCTGTTGCTTGTGCAAAGTACTAAGCTGTTTGGGAACCCATCATGCACAGACTTTCCTGTACTGACCCAAAATCTGATGGTAAGTCTCCACTGGTTTCACTCCCTCTGCCCAAAGAAAACGCACTACGACACGTTGTTCTATGATGGTTCAATCTCACATAGGAGCATCTATGTTTCTGTCCACGTGACTAACACTCAACTAAAGTTCAAGCGTTGTACTGCGCTTGGTCGTACTATCCTAGGCTATGTAAATATGCAGCATTGCGCAAGCTGCTCTCTGTTCTGGTTACCGCATAATTTATAAATTGCCTTTACTTTCGAATATATATATATTTTTAT